AATTCCGTGCCCAAACATGATTCCGCCGAGCGCCGTATTATCGTGGATCTTAGCTGGCCGGCTGGCACTTCAGTCAACGATGGCATTTCTTCTTCAAGTTATCTGGGAGAAGATATCTCTCTCACTTATCCTACGGTAGACTCAATCGCCTCTCTCATTTGGTCCGTTGGAACCGGTTGTTTACTGTATAAGCGTGATTTGAAACGTGCTTATCGGCAATTTCCTGTCGACCCTTTAGACTACCCTTTGCTGGGTTATTGTTGGCAACATTCCTTATATTTTGATTTAGTTTTACCGATGGGCTTGCGATCGGCTGCCATGGCCTGTCAACGCATTACGAACGCAGTGTGTTACATTTGTGAACTGGAGGGACATCACGCCCTTAGTTATTTAGACGATTTTATCGGTGTGGCCACTCCGGACATTGCCTGGCAGGCTTACGATTATTGTGGTCACCTTCTTGCCGAACTTGGTCTTGAAGAATCTCTTAGCAAAGCTTGTCCGCCTGCTACGATTCAAACTTGTTTAGGGGTGCAATTTGACACTGTACAAATGACACTTTCCGTCACACCAACACGTTTGACGGAAATCGAGACTCTCCTCGTTTCATGGTCTACCAAGAAATCCGCTACGAAGTCCGAGCTACAGTCTCTGGTCGGTAAGCTTTCCTTTATTTCCAAATGTGTTCGACAGAGTAGACTCTTTCTGTCTCGCATTTTAACCTTGTTACGGACACTTAGACAGAATGGTCATCGCACTCGTCTTTCCACCGAGTTTCGCAGGGACATTGCGTGGTGGCTTCGCTTCATGCGGACCTATAACGGCGTTTCCATCATTCCCTCGCTGGTCTGGACTGCTCCCGACGCCGTGTTCTCCACTGACGCATGCTTATCGGGATGTGGTGGCTTGACACAGTCCCAGTATTTTCACGTTCAGTTCCCCGCCGACGTTCTTGCTCGGTTTTCAGAGATTCACCTTTTGGAAGCGCTCGCTATCCTGGTTGCTCTACGCTTGTGGGGTCACCTGTGGGCCGGTTTCCGCATTCAAGTCTTTTGCGATAACGCTGCCGTGGTTTCTGCACTCACTTCAGGCAGAGTGAAGGATCAGTCGCTAGCCGCCATTTCGCGTGAACTCTGGTACCTCGCAGCCTCTCATGACTTTGAACTGCGCGCAGTTCATCTCCCCGGTGAAGAGAATCGCGCCGCAGATTTATTGTCTCGTTGGCATATTGACAGTAGTTTTGAGGCACGTTTCAAGCTACTTCCCGTGTTCTCACGTTTGAGTCCAGTCCCTGTGCCTCCTGATGTCTTCACCGTTTATGATTATTAATTAGCCTTTCTTACTTCTTCTTTATTGATAGATCGTGAACTACGAGAACTGCGGCGAGATTTAAAGGTCACTCGCAAGGCCGCCTTTGCGGCAGGGACACATAAGAACCACCTCACGCAGTGGCGGACATATTTATTGTTTTGTTTATATTTTTCATTCGATTTTCTACCAGCCACGGTTGATACCGTTTGTTTGTTTTCTCAATTTTTAAGTAGATCCTTAACGCCGGCCTCGGTGCGTAATTATCTTAGTGGGGTCAAGTTTTTACACGTCGCTTTGGGTCACGATTTCCCCTCGCTTCGCACCTTTTCCATTAGAATTACCCTTCGTGGTATTGACAGGATGGCGTTACATTGCCCCACGCGCGCGCCTCCTGTCACGCCCTCCATTCTGTTTTCGTTGATTCAGTTGTCTCGTAGTGTCGATTCTTCCCCAGAGTATATCACCTGTTCGTGTGCCTTTTTGTTTGCCTTTTTCCTTATGGCACGTATTTCTAACATCGTTCCTCTTTCTACGCGATCTTTTGATTGCCGTAAGCATTTGTGTAGAGGGGATATCGTTTCAGCCCCCCATGGTCTCACTGTCGCTTTCAAGTGGTCTAAAACTAATCAGACTGGTATACGTCATTTGCTTTTGCCTTTAGTTGCTATGCCCAATTCGCCCTTGTGTCCCGTTAAGATGTTTCACAGAATGTGTGCTCTCACTCCGGCATCGCCCATGTCACCCGCATTTGTTCTCTCATCTCCGGACGGCTCTCTTTCCCCGGTTATTAAGCGTCAGTTCGTCCAGGTCTTTCGTGAGCGTTTATTTTCGGCAGCCATTCCCCACGCGCACACATATCGTGGACATTCTTTTCGTAGGGGAGGGGCGAATTGGGCTTTTCAGTGTGAAGTTCCTGGAGAACTCATTCAAGTTTTCGGGGACTGGTCCTCTGACGCCTATAAAAGTTATCTCGAGTTCTCCTTGCCGGCTAAGTTACGAGTAGCTCAACGCGTTAGTTCTTCGCTTCTGTTTTCTTAATTCGTTGTGTTATGTACTTTTCCGTCGGACACACCATTTTGTTTGCGCTTGTTTTGGTGGGCAGAGAGCTTTATTTCTTCGGGTGTTTTATCGGTTTTTTCGCTTTACTTGAAATAAATCTCTCTTTATGCCAAACAAATGGTGTGTCCTATTTTATTGGTTGTTAGTTTGCTTAGATATCCTCGGGGAATTTGTTTATTTTGGAGGACGCTTCAAAATTATTAATTCCCCACATCGAAGATCAGTCATTTATCACTCATCAGCATTGCGTAATAGCTTTATTGATCTCGCTGCATGTTCAGCACGTGGTTTATTGTTACATGTAGTTTAACCTGCGCTGCACGCGTATTGTACTTATCTCGAATTATCATCTTGCAAGTTTTTGCTCGAATGTGTTCTTGATCCGTTTGTACATTTCCTTTACCCATCCCTCCCACCCCGATGGTGGGCAGAGAGCTTTATTTCTTCGGGTGTTTTATCGGTTTTTTCGCTTTACTTGAAATAAATCTCTCTTTATGCCAAACAAATGGTGTGTCCTATTTTATTGGTTGTTAGTTTGCTTAGATATCCTCGGGGAATTAGTTCAGCATAAATTTCCTCGTCCAGAGGCAAGATCTTGTCAAGCTGTTCTTTAAGGACTGTGTGCCACTTAACAAGTTCAACTTTCTTCTCAGCTTCATAGCTGTTTAAGCACTCGTCAACGTCAGGAAGGACTCCCGTTAGAAATCCTCGATGGCCTGCTCTAACTTTCTTCTTGGACATTCTTTAATCCGGCTATCGATGGACATAGGTGATACTTAACTTGATTATTCTGTGATTAAATATTAATTAGAAATTGACATTTGTAGCGCAAAAGTTAGATTTCGTGACATTAGATTTCACAATAATGTAGACAAAGTCCAAGTATATTTACGATATAAAATGATGTAACTGCATGTATTTTCTTAGGCTAAATAAGGTGAAAGAACGTGGGATTTTGTAATAGACACTTAATTTAGATACATTACAATGGGAACTTTTACTGTACATGTGATTAATGTAAAAATACTGCCTTACGCAAGGATAGTAGAAAAACCACTGTATACTTAGAATGTTTTAGTTTTAGTTTTAGTTGAGTTGATCGTTGATCGTTCAGTTACGTTGATCGTTGTGTTACGAACGTTGAGTATATGAGAGTTGTACATCGCAGTAGATTGTTGGATTGGATTAAATCGTGTTGTTACATCGAAAGATACAGTCCTCTTGATTTGTTTGAACCAGCGGAGCGGGGTTAAAAGAATTCCGCAACAAGATCGACTATTGGGATCTTGTGTGATTTAGTCACCCCTCAGTGGAGTTTTGGCGGCATAAGCTAATACTGATGAGTACCAGGTCGATGTTTTAGGAGAATTTCTCTCAACATGTTGACCAAGTCTCTGTTGATACATGTCAGTTGAAATAAGTCAACTGAGTATTAGCTGACTAATGTCAGCTCAACTGACATGTTAATTTTGTATTGACTGACATGTCAACCCAGATAGTCAACCGACATAATTGTGTCCACAAACATAATCGATGACTCAGCCGATATTGTCAACCAATAAGCCACTGACATCCCCCAATACTTCATTGTTGCAAAGTCAACTATTCTTGAGGAGTTACTTTCCCTGTCTACTTATTATAATAAATTTCCATTGTCCAGGCATCAATTTTTTTTGGTAGCTTTGCCCCTATCAATCTACAATATAGGACCTGCCAACAGCTCATTGTAATGTAAAACTTGTGGGTATAGACCAAGTGTTGGCCAGCATACTGACCAAGTATTAGTCAACGTGTCCACCTTTATGTCAGCTGACACTTACCCACATGCCAATGAACACACTGGCTGACATGTCAATCAACACTCGACAGTGTGTTGGTTGAGTATCGTTTAACATGTTGTCGACCAAGAGTCAACAATAAAAATACACAACATCTGACTACTGTTATGTTCGAGTTTTATGTTTAAAAACCAGCAATAAAAAGCACTCACTGTCTTTGCTTGCTATTTCCTTTTTGCAATGTATATTAAGTTTTTCTCAGTTATTTGATACATTTACTTTTTTAATCAATTGTCACAAATGCACATATATAAATCAAAATTAAGCGGCATAAATGATAATGAAATAACACAAATATTATCCACAACTTGGACATTACAATTTACAAGTTTGTTGGTACAACTGATGTCTTTCGTGATCGTGGTTGTCAGAAAGGAAATGAGAAATAAAATCCTTGAAGAATCTTAAAATTCAATTTAAAGGCTGGCCCCACCTCAATCCTGGCACTTTTCACGTACCGTTGCGAGAAAGGTACACGAGAGCTAACTTTCCAAGCTTAGTACTAGTCCTTAGCTTAGTTCTGATGCAACTGTAGCTACGAGGTCTACCACGCTTGCCTTTGGGTCCCCATGTTATGTTCACAATTTTCGGGTATTCACGAACTGAGTGAGACAAGAAAGAGGGCCCAGCTAGTGCCCTTATAAATCCCTATTGATATTAAAAACAAGGCTTTCTTGTCAAAGAAAAAGTTCTGAAGGAAAAGTTGTTCAGTTTCTAACCTGTCGAACCATTTTTTCCCGCCAAATATTATTGGCCATCAGGGGTGGTTACCAAGCAAACCCGAAGTGGGTTAACGGCTTTGTTCGAAACTGCCACTATTGTGGCGGGCTGCGATACACGATCGCTTGGTTAAGTTTCGATTCTTACTTTGCGACTGAAAGTGGATTTTTTCCTCGCAAGATGGCGAAGAAAACGTGTACTCCCTTCTGTGACAACAAAAAGGCATGCCCAAAGCACCATGATCTTCTTTTGACCTTGATAAATTGCTCGGATAGAAAGAATCAGGAAGCGAACGCTTGTTTTGAAGAATATCAAAGCACCGTTAAAGCGTACCTGAAGAAAGGCTGGAACGTCAATGATGCAATTCCTGATCCTGTACGAAACTACCGATTTCCACTCCTACATTGGGCAGGAGTGATGGGAAAGACGAGAGCTTTGGAATGGATGATCAATTTCGGTAGGTAATCTATTTCGTTTTGCTGACACTACAGCTAAACCAAAACTTGGCTAATACAATCGAATCTAATAGATCGGCGATCGCGCAGGCCTTCCCTTGGCCTGTTCATATCTTTATTCACTCCGAATGCTGTTAGCGCGAGGGCACGCTATCTAGTTAGAAGGAAAACGTCCTCTAAACACGTCTGATTTTCAAGGCGTCAAAAAGAGGAACCGTTGTTTGACCATTTTGATGTTCGTTTATATTATAGAAAGACCAACTGCATTAACATGTTTGTTGTTTGCGTTGATAGTTGCTGGGTATGCAGAAAATCCTCTCACACTGGTCCGCACCAGGTAATAGGCAGATTTAGCAAAGAGAAAGCGACGGCAGTAATGAAAATCCTGGCAGATCTAAATACCAGCTTAACCAATAGGAGAGTAGGAAATTGAGCACTGGAAGTTCAGTCTTTTCCTTTGACTGTTGCATCCTCATTCAACATTATGTAGACCTTGCTAGATCTGTTTGATAAGGCATGACAACAGATATACATCTTTTGAAATTTGCTAAAACGTGCCCACTAGGTTTTTGCGCGAGAGTGGGTGTCGCCCATGTCCAAGAGAGGGTAGCCAAAAAAAATGGAAGTGCTTGCCATCATGCCAGGTGCTGGAAGATAGCCCAGGCCCAGAAATAACTGAAGATGGGTGGGCAGCAGCTCTGTGTCAAAAGTAGGGGTAGTTGTGCTTGGGTCTGTGGAGACCAAAGATTGGGATACACTGGGGAACATGTTGCTGTAACGCATCGAAGCAACAAATAACTCCTTGTGTTCAGGTCAGGTGACAGGTTGTGTGACACATTGCAGTGGAAAAATGCTTTGTGTGTACTGGAGAATTTTTGTGAAGATCGTCTCCACAACAGAATTTTGTCACAACAAGAAGTTGCACTAATTCAATCTGATTTGACTTTGTGCAACTTGTTGTGGCAACAAAATCCTGATGCAGAGATAAAGATTTTCACAAAAATTCTCCTGTACACAACACCGGGGGCACTTGGGTATTTTTTGGGTGGGTATGTGCCGCCTGGGACTCCAAATTGGCACCCCGTTATGAAAAAAATTCCCCTAAAATTGATACCCTGTTCTAGAAATGGGCCAATTTTTTACACTCCGTTCTCGAAAGTTTGTAAATTGAAATAGCCCTGTTTTTTTAAAAAAAGATATTTCTTTATTTGTTCGACTCATACATCAAAAAAAAATTCCCCTAAAATTGATACCCTGTTCTAGAAATGGGCCAATTTTTTACACTCCGTTCTCGAAAGTTTGTAAATTGAAATAGCCCTGTTTTTTTAAAAAAAGATATTTCTTTATTTGTTCGACTCATACATCAAAAATTAATGAATGCCTCTTCATAATCAGCAACAATTACGTAAATAAGTAATTTCAAATGGCTGCTTACAAAACTGGAGCTTTCGTGCGTTTGAAATATTATACCCCGTTCTCTTTCGAAATTTGCTAAAACGTGCCCACTAGGTTTTTGCGCGAGAGTGGGTGTCGCCCATGTCCAAGCGAGGGTAGCCAAAAAAAATGGAAGTGCTTGCCATCGTGCCAGGTGCTGGAAGATAGCCCAGGCCCAGAAATAACTGAAGGTGGGTGGGTAGCAGCTCTGTGTCAAAAGTAGGGGTAGTTGTGCTTGGGTCTCTAGAGACCAAAGATTGGGATACACTGGGGAACATGTTGCTGTAACGCATCGAAGCAACAAATAACTCCTTGTGTTCAGGTCAGGTGACAGGTTGTGTGACACATTGCAGTGGAAAAATGCTTTGTGTGTACGGGAGAATTTTTGTGAAGATCGTCTCCACAACAGAATTTTATCACAACAAGAAGTGTTCGACTCATACATCAAATGAATGCCTCTTCATAATTAGCAACAATTACGTAAATAAATAATTTCAAATGGCTGCTTACAAAACTGGAGCTTTCGTGCGTTTGAAATATTATACCCCGTTCTCTTTCGAAAATGCCTCTGAAATGGATACCCCATTCTAAATCAGGAGCTTCAAAATCACGACCCCGTTGGGTGACACATACCCGTATAGGTAATGTGTGGGAGTACCCCCCCCCCCCTCCGGGACACAACATAAGCTTATCAACCTTTGTTTGTGTGGCCATTGTTGTCATTGAAGTATGAGCAGCGATCTTTTGTACTCAATAGAAGAAGTACAGATAAACATAACAGCAGCTACGATTTACTCCAAAATACAGGTTTGAACCTTAATGTTCCAGAAAAGTTTAAAAAAAATGTTAACTTAGTCGTTTGTCATGTTTTTTTGCTGTCCTGAGCTGTTAAAGCCTCTTTTTGTGAGATGATTATTTGACCGGCTGTTTAGAACTAATGAAAGAGACAAGGCAGGCAACAATCACACGTCACCTAGTCCACTTCATGCTGGAACTGATGCCAAACCATTGAATTTCTCAGCTCGAAAACATGAGATATGTCTTCATGCCTGCGCCAAAGCTCACCTCAATCCTTTAAGAATTAACCATGAAAAGTGATACTGAAGTTGTAAGAGCAGTCTTTTGAATATGATAGCACAGGCATCCCAAGCTCATGTTACGAGTGTGATGATGTAAATTTACTATTTCACAAGAGAGTCGGTGTTGCATTACAAGCAACCTTTGAGACTTTGTAGGAGAAATAAAACACTGAGGTTTGCGAATGCTGAATATAATTATTTCTACTTTTTTCCTAAATAAAGGAGACTTACCTTTTACATATTCCTGTGTTTTTTGGTGTGAATTCATCAATTTAATTGTTTTTTGGCTGTTATTGTGTGACCCTTTGCCACTCTCTCCATAAAACGAAGTAAAGACAGCACAGAAAAACAGGCGGCGGTCCAGACCTTGTCCACTCGAAGGCGGTTTGCGGCCCGAAAACCCATCAAATCGCAGATTTCTTCGACAAGAGGCAAACTTCTATCATCGCTACGCTGCAGTAAATGTTTAAAGGCAAAATAGACCCACGTACAGTCAACTCTCGCCTTGCGGACACCCCGCTATAACGGACACCCCGATAATACGGACAGCAGATAAATTCCGGGCAAAAATAAATTACAGACATTTGACTAAAATAAACTCTCACTATTACGGACTCTCGCTACAGAGGACACTAACTTAAGGTCCCTACAGTGTCCGCTATAAAGAGAGTTGACTGTATGTCGCTGGAAATGAGTATTAATTTTTCTCGTGCCATGTCCAAAAGACATTCTTTCTTCACATGCTGTGATTTCGAGAGTGGACATGGTGTTGGTCCAAGATCAAATTTCCCTCAACCAAGGTATAATATGTTTTGAAGAAACCATTTACTACTACTCACTGGCTTTTTACAACTGCAATTTAGACATCAAGTGGGTTAAAAGCAATGAGAATATAATATATTCAAAGCACATGGTTAAAAATTTGTTTGACAAATAAGTATTTTGCAAAAAGGGATTTCCCGCAAGAAATATTCATGGCACGTGCTCTGGTGAAAACAAAGTCAGGAAAATGCGTCTGTTCTTACAGAAATTGTCCAGGCTTCATGAATTAAGAAAAAAATATGACAGTTTCAATCTTTCATCCTAACTGTACATTACTCAAAATTATATTAAAGCAAAGCTGGAAACTGCATAACTGTAGTGATTTGAGTTTTTTTAGTAGCTGCCATTGAGATCAGGAAGAAATTTCGTGCCAGACAGAGTACTGCACTAAATGGGCTTACATATGTCTAACATAAATTAGCTGTAACAAAAGAAAAAGTACAGCCTTTCTTTCATTTAGTCATTGAATGGAGTTTACAATGATGTGCCAGGTAGACAACGTTTTGAGAAACTGAAATAAAGGCTCTTTTTGCTGCAGGAGATCCATTTGCTGCAGAGAAAGTGGATCTTGTGTAATTTGTGCACCCCTAGATAGAGTATTGGTTGAAACTATCAGCCCATATGTTGGTGAACATGTTGGCCGAGTATTGGTCGACTCTCGATTACTGTATTAGTCGATATGTTGATCGATATGTCGGTCTACACTCAACCGATATGGTGAATGGTGTATCGGCTGACACTCGACTGTGTGTTAGCTGACATGTCAGCCGATACATGGCCAGTATACCGGTCGTCACTTGGCTGATAAAGGGAGTGTCAATTGTGGGTAGAATCAGTAGACTGTTGGTGGAATATCGGTCGACTATTGGTGGCAAATTGGTCAACTGTCGTGTAATATAATATGTGTTTTAAAACGAGAATGTGGGAGCTGGGTTTCAGTGTTGTGCGCAAGATATTGTGGCTCAGGGGTTTGAAAATAGTTTCCTTTCTGTTGTTCGTGCCATCCCATGTCGGCCTTGCCGCGTCAACCTGTTTGATTTCTGCCATTGTTCTAGGCATGTCAAATGTTAGATTGTCCTTGAATACCTCTCAAAGGTGATGATACCATAGCGGTCCCAATTTTTTCCAAAAAACTCTTACACACACTTGTAATTATACTCTCACATTAGGCTGGTAAAAGCTGCCAAAGGCCCTTAAAAACTCTTGCATGGACAACATAACAAAAATTTGAGTAGACAAAAAATATACCATCAACTAAGTCGAAGTGAAGTATCGGCTGAATTTCAGTAGCCTATCGATCAATACCGTAAAATTCCAAAAATAAGCCCCTCCATGTATAAGCCCCTCCAAATATAAGCCCCCCAAACCAGTAACACAAAAAACCCTCCGTTAAATCGCCCCTCCAAATATAAGCCCCCCAGGGGCTTGTACTTGGAAAATTGCCCCCAAGTACAAAGAAAAACAAAGCAAAAACAGTAAATTTACTTCCAACTATAAGGCTAGCCCTATCGATTTTGAAACGCAAACTTCCGTCCGTAGATAAGCCCCTCCAAAAATAAGCCCCGGGGCTCATTTTTGGAATTTTACGGTATGTCGGCCGACTATCGGTCAACCTTCCAACCAAGCCGATCTGTTGGTCAACGTGTCGTCTGACTATCGCTCAACATGTCGGCCGACATGTTGATCGAGTACCAGCCAATAGTGTCGACCGATACTCAATCAAAGGGGTGTGCAAATTACACAAGGTCCGAAAAAGCTACTGAAACCAATTCTATGGAATGAAACTGTTTCAGAAATTGACTTTAGCAGCTTGACTAGCTTACCTGAGGATCAACGTGGAACACCCAATATGCAAAACACGCAAAAAATGAAGGACCATTTTAAAACTTTAGGTCACCAAAAGGCGACTTTGAAAGAAATTGAGCTTGGGGCACTGTATAAATATTTCAATAATGACAACAGCCACGTGAACATGAACAGAGGGTGGTCTGCCTGTGGTACACATGAGGGGATTTGTCATCACAACATGTTGCTGCAACTTCTTGCTTAGTATGTTCCAGCCTTAAGCGCCTCACCTTTTATCAAATCCAGTCAGATATACATGTACACATCACCGGTGTGCATAAATCTTATCTTCACATGTTCTCAGTCCTTGCAAGTGAGAACGGGTGTTGTTTTTATAAAGTTAAATATATTTAACACAGTTAACAATGAGGGGCGTAATCAGCAGTCAGTGGTTTGGCTCAAGCACAGTCAGTCTCAGCATTTTCCTCGGGGCCACTCTCTTCGTTTAGCCTTTGGATTATTGTTTTATGCCCATCACTCCCCCTCCCTTTATTTTTCTACTGATAAATCAGTGTGACAGGTGCCTGGTTCCATTGGTGTGGGGGTTCATGGCTGAAGGGCATGGGTTTGCCAGCCATGGAGGCGTAACTCTGTCTAGGGGCTGGCTGTGCCCTAAAATTGAAGCCCTTGGACATCCCAGGCACCCACCTCCACTGAGTGACACAGTTGTTTAATAATATATTTTATACTTGAATATTCTGTAGCGACATTGCAGTTTCTTATTGAGGAAGGGAGACTATTGAAGAGCTTGGCTCCACTGTCTTTTAATGTGCTTGTAACCAATGGTAGACAATGATCTCAGAGATCTTGTGGGTTTATAAATATTCCTCTTACCTTAGAAATGAACAGCAGCTTTTGTAGTGCAGAGTCAAAGTGAGTTGAACACCATTTACAGACGAAACATCAAATAGAGTGGGACTCTGCGGCCAATCAAGCAAAACTAACTATGACAGAATGACTGGAGAACTGACAATTTGACTAACAATAGACGGGTGTTTAACTGTGACAGTAGACTGATCGCAATGCATCAATTACATTACGAGTCTTCATGGCCAATAACATTGTGATGTAATTGACCAATGAGATCATGATAACCAGAGTATAGTACCATCAACTGATGTGATACAACTCACTTTGACTCTGAAGATGACTACCGCACAGGTTGTCGAAATGTCAGTCACTGTCAACAACAACAGTCCTATTCAGAACTACGTTCAGCCGGACAATCAAATTCAAATTACTTTTGAAACGACTCCTGGGTTCAAACCTTTCACAAAACTTCTTAAAGCTACTGTACACATAAACTTTGTCATTTTTGGTCTGTTTGTGCTCATCTTTCATCACAAGTTGACATTTATTTTTTATATTTTATGTTTGACTTCTGGATTGTGTTCATTATAACAAGGATTTTGTTAAATCAAGGTTCTGTTCCATACATTTTACAGTAATTTTGGCCAGGCTGAAGGAAATAGTTTGTCATCTTGAGGACTTTATTGTATAGAGCTTTGTTAAATCGAGGTTCTACTGTATTGCATCCTACCAAACCTGATGCTTTCCATGTCAGGAGAGGGTGTTACAAAAACCGCAAAACCTGCACAGGATAGTGAAAAATACTGCACAGGAAAAAGTTGTAAAAATGCAATAACTACAATCAAATTTTTCAAAATTTGTAAAACTGCAAACCCATGGATTACCATAGGTTAAAACATAAATTTCCATTTTGTGCTAGTGCTAAATGTGAGAACTGGTGTCCAGTGAAACAAAGTGAAGGCAGGAAACAGTCTAACCTTTAGTCAAATCCATTATTTCGTTGCTTTGGCCTCAGGCCTGACATACACACTTTTCATGAACCAATTTGAAACTCAATTCATGAACACGAGCAGAAAATAACGATAGCAAGAAGCAAGTGTGCCACATAGGAAATAGTGATGTTTGATACAGCTCTAATTTGTTATGATCGGCTCTGGTCATAGGCCTTTTAAGGAATAAGAAATTGAACTTGGACATGACGCAAGCAAATTAATTTTTGCTATGTAGTTCTTGCTCACCTCATCCTTAGATAAATTACCAAGTGAGGTGGATTGAAAAGATGAGAGAAAATTTGATCTTCTTGAATAAATTGCATAACCCAGTTAAAAATCAGTTAAGATCCAACTAAATTTGCATTTTATAAAAAAGCAGTATGTTTTGATTAGTGTATTGGTCAGGAATAACTTGGTTAAGTTATCTGGTGTTCGCACCGTCTTTGTCTACCCGCAACTAGCCTTTAACAGTTACGTTGTAATCAATTGCTTTCCAGGTTTTAATGTGACAGTTCGAACATCAGGCTCTCAAGAAACCGCCTTGCATAGAAGCGTTCTTTGTTTGAGTTACTCTGACAGACGACATTCTATAGACAAGATTAAACGACTTGTACACTTGCTGAAGGATTGTTTACCCCTACAAGACAAGTCCATGCAAACGCCTCTTCATGCAGCTTCGGTTAAACTGATCACAGACACCGCCAGGAATGATTATTACTCAGAATTTGTGATGGCAATGGTGGCAAAGGCAATGGAAATCCCTGAAAAGACTTCTGACATATTAAATGCGAAGGATAATCAGGGCAACACAGCACTGCATTATCTTGCACAAAATGACAAATTTGGCTTTGTTCCTCTTTCTTCTATCATCAATGCTGGTGGTGATATATCAATTCTGAATAAAAAGAAATTGAGGCCTCTAGATTTGGCCATAAACAAAGGTTGCACAAGCATAATAAAGGCCTTGAAAACTCATGGGAAAACCTCCAACCCTACTTGTGATGATAACATTGTCTACTCTGCCGACAGCCCTCCAGCATCACCTGTAAATCAAAGTAGTGAGAATCACCAGCATGATGTGTTGGATAGTTCTGAAGTTGAAAGCCAAGCTGACCGCACCAACTTCAACAATGCAGACACCCCAACACTCGAACATAATGAGGACAACTCTTCTACCAGCGTTTCCGAGGATGTATCCCCAGGCGAACCCACTTGTGCCGTGAATGAAGTCTCATCAGCCATTGCAGCCACTGACCCTGACTCCGGCTCAACTGCTGATGATGCAGCTGCACCTGCTACTGATCTCAATGACGACGTGCCACAAACTGCATGCCCTGAGGTTTCTTGTGAAACCCATGATGATTCACCAGCCGCTCTTGATGCACTGTCAGTCAATACAGATGAGGCAGGACCTTCATGTGAAGCAAGTGGAAACAGCGTGGAGGGGGAATGTAGATGCAGTGCTATAGGGGTGCAGACTCCTCTGTTAAGTCGATACTCGTGTATTGTCCACGTCAAACAAGAGCAGCTTTCTCCAGTAAGTAATAATTCACATTCTTCTACATGTTATTAACTTATAGCTATGCAGAACTGCAAATAACAGTTGGTCGATGGACCTTGTCTGACTACAATATTTTTGGCGCAATGTCCAACTTAATCTTAACTGTGGTTGGACATGATGTCATGACAAAATCGTAAGATTGCTTTTTATACTTCAGGTGACCCTGATAGGACATGTAGTAGACTTCTACTATCTATGCTTAGGATGATCAAGCACAGCTTTATTACAAGTTCTGTGTGAGAATGTTTTTTCTGAATAATATGTCGAATTTTTCTGGAAATGGATTCTAAAGGACTTTGTCTTTGTTCAAGAAAGGAGAAAGAAAATGTTTGAGTGATCACTTCCCCCATAGAACACAGTGAAAATGAAGTTTCATGTCCTAGTGTGAAATGTACAACAAAAAAACCCATGATGTTCCTTTGCCAATCTTAACCTATTTAATTTTTGCTCTTCTCATTGCTGTTGCCACCATGTTGCTCGGGCTCCCTACTGTTTGAAGGGCCCTCTGACCACCTCTGGCCTCAGTTTCCTTGAGATAAGTAATTCTCGCACATAACGTTCACAGTTCTCTAGGAAAAAGTAGTGTGACTGCCATCATACCGAACAACATGTGCAGTGCATTGATAGCAAGTCATTATAAAAATCCTCAATCACCTTATGGTCTTAGCTTACAGGCTCTTTGCTTTTCTTTCGACAACATTATTCAAATAGCTGTATAATAAATATGCATTATTGACCATAAGCCTGAGGTCAAGATGGCTAAATGTTAGCCAAGTTCTTTTTTGCATATTTTTTTAAGGACCAAGGCAAAGTCAAGGTTGAGAAAAAATGCAACAAAGAACAAGGCCAATATGCAGCCATCTCACCCGATCAAGCTTGGACAATAAATGGATTAATTATTTGGCTTAATGTGTGAACAACGCAGGAACTCCCAAGCAGGCTAGGTGGGCCCTTCTTGCCTTGCCTTCTCAGGTAGCCTATCAGAACACAGGATTCGCTTCATCTTGCCCACTTGCTGATTCCGCAATGTAACAATATAAACTTTTGTGTACCTGTAAGCATGCAACCTGAAAACCCTCCTTGTGCAGTAAGGGACTTTTAACTCCCAGAAAATCAGAAAAAAAGTTCTACTTTTAGGTAGCCTGGGCCAGCTGCCATATTTGGCTTAGTCTATGATCAGACTTGGTGTGTCACACTGGTGACAAAGTTCATTGTATCATTGTAGTACTTCATTACAGTTTTATTGCCCTGCTCTAAGCATAATGCCTAGCTTTCAGTTTAGTACATTAATCCCCTTTTATAGCCTGTTTTCAAAGAGGGAGGATACTCTGGATAATTATTGAAGTACCTTGTACACACTTGCTTTCCTTATTACATGAACAGAGATGCTAAACTCTGGAGATCTAAAATCTGGAGATTGTTTCTTTAGTACCATCCAACATCAACCACCTCCAAGTTAATGGATGTGGCTCAAGACATTATATATCTTACATCTACAGACCATCAGTCTAGTAGTCTAGAGACTGATGAAATACAGGAAAAAATGCCCCAGAAACCATACTATGACGAAAAAAGTGTTAAATTTGGGGGAAATGAGCTAATTACAAATCAATTGTATGCGGGAGATTTGCTGACCCATAGGGGAGACTAGGAGATTTGTGCCATATCCAGGTGACTGCCTGATAATCTGGGAGCCGTGTCTGGTTACATCCTGTTTCTTCCATGCCACCAATCAACCTGTCTTATCACACTAATGCTGTTATTACGGGGCAAACATTTCCCATATCAGAACAGAACTCAGCAGCGAAAGATGCTGTCCTCGTCTTAACCACTGGCTTACTCACATAGTTGACTAGTTCGACTTCACAGGCATGTCAGAGGTAAAGGGCCTACGATGTTTCTTGTTGTCACCAGTGTATATTCTCATATATAGGGACAGCACCTCAGTCAGTCAGTTGGGTGTATGAGAATCAGACCAGCTAAGCCTATAGCTAGCAGCGTCTGAAAGTGGCTCATTACTTGCGGCAGAGCATGTCATTTCTGTATTAGTCCCATAAGTCTTGTTAGAACACACTGGAACAGGCTGCAGACAAACAATGTCTTGGTTATTGTCCCTCCAGTCGGAGATAAGGTCACAGTGAAATCTCAATCAGTCTGGCTTACTTACTTGTTTGACTTGTCTTGAGTTCAACTTCACAGGCGTGCCAGGGGTTAAATACCGTACCTGTGAATTGTTTCTTGCTGCCGCCACTGTACATGTATGTTCTCAGATACAGAGACAGCAGTCACAGCATCCCAGTCAGTAGCCAGAAAGTAGTTTCTGGGCGTATAACAACTAGGCTTAAGGAGAGCACTGCAAAATACAAGGTAGTACAAAATTGCTATCCCGAGAAGGTGACAAATAAAGCTAAATTTAAATAACACTTCTTTGTGATGTTTCCCACGATAAGGCCCGAGCAGACTTTACAACTGAAGGATACTTTGTTAGAGGATTACTATGTCAGCTTTGTTTTCAAACAGCATTTTCTGTAATTTTATATAAATTACTGACTACATTAAAGACTAAAGAACATCAAGATGATAGAGACTACGCCCTTTTGATGGTGGGGGTAGCCTACGAAGCTAGCGGTTTTTTGATGTTTTTTTTTTCTACAAGGCCTTGAGTGGACATGCCAGTCGTACCGCAGATTAGAACTTGGACGTATGATTCGATTTTTGAATACATGTAAAAAGGAAACAAATTGAAATATTTGTTTTTACTCTCCCCATACCGAATACAGACAGCATAGGTCTAGCCCAAAAATGATTGTTGGACAAATCTTTTTTCTAAGACGTACCCTCTACCGTACATTTAGATTGGTACATTTGGCGTTAAAAAAAAGTTGTTTCATTTTGTGTCAAATACTTGTGGTACTTTTTGCCTTAAAAAGTTGTTCAATTTGACTTAAAAAGCTGCTACATTACGAGTTTATAATTAAGTTCAACGTAACAAGCATCGTATGAAAGTTACGCGCGAAGTGTTTTCGTTACCAGGCCTTGAACGTGTATTTCGGTCAAAATGGCAGTCACCCACGAGTAAGTAATGAATATTTATCGGCTAATTTTGCAGTTCATCTCTTGAATATTTGCATTTTGAGCGAAGCTTTGTTTCTTTTCATTAGTGCGTCAGCTAGTTGTGAGTTACAACTTGCACTGAACAAGGACGTGCCCAAATGTACACAGCAATCGAAGGGAACCATAACTATTTGCTCCAATGCTACGTGTCCGTACAGCCAGGCTGTTTTTGTGAAAGTAAGGTTATCTGAGAGTCTTTGACTGTACATGATTGGTATTTCACTGGAAACTGTACGATATTTATCTTCTTTTACCTTTCGTTAATGGATATTAGAAACCCGTTTGCCACCCTCGCCTCAGCTGGTTTTGTTTTTGATTTGTCAATTCCACGTGCAACTTCATTTCGCGCGTTCGATAACATTCATCACTTGGACTGCTATTTGATGAGTGATTTATAAACCCTAAAACAGTTAAAGCACTGAAAGTATCATATTCTTGGATTATTTTGACTGCAGGACATAGTGCGAGCCATGCAAAAGAAAGGATTAATACGAAAAAAAAAATAACCGAAAGCTATAATCCGTTGTAAATGAGTGTTTAGCGCTAAAAAGTGCTTAACCTTAACTTAAGCCTAATCCGTAAAGCGAGTGCTTAACCCTGGTCAGTAGAATGAGCGCTTAACCCTAATCAGTGAAAGTCGATCAATACTGCAAAATCCTGCAAATATTCCATCAGCAAAACCTCGGAACTAAGCAGAAAACATTTTTCATGTATTTACAATTTCATAAAACTCTAGTTAGTGTCGTTTCAGCGAGACTCGTAATCTGCAACGCGTTTTTCGCCCCGGTAAGGGGGGGGGGGGGTCCCTTATATAGGCTATGTGGGGTGCCTAAGGGTATGTTTTTTTGCAGCTGTTTTGGTCTGAAAAAGGGTATCAATTTCGACCATTTTGGTCTGAAATAGGGTATGGTTTGTGCACTCTAGTGTCTCTGGGTATGTTTTAGAAGAATTAGCTACTTCTTCATCATTTGGCGATAAGACCGTTTCCCTTTTAATGTTTACGCCAACTACCATGTATGTGCCGTAACAGCTTGTCATGCGCTTCGGTCATGCGGCAGGCTCCAGGGCTTCAGGTCTGAAATAGGGTAGGGAAAATCACAGATTTTTGTCTGAAATAGGGTAAGAGGTTCAGGAAGCGTGCCATACATCCCCACCCAATTTTTCTGGAAGTACTCCCTCGAGCATTTTTGTCGTTTTTGGGTCAAAAATGGTGGGTCATTGTGCCAGGCGTTCCTTGCGGACACCGTGGAAACTGGGACTAAGAATCGTTGCGTGATGGAAGCCACACATGTTTTGCGAAGAAAGCTTAGGAAAGATTAAATTTAGAGCTTTTCGGAAACGTGTCGGTCCATAAATTCTGTCGCTTGAAAGTGTTGATTACTTTGGAGCAAGTGAACACTACTGAGTGGTCGAAAAAAAATAAGAATCTGAATTAGCAAAATTGCGAGGTTGGGTGTTGTAAACTTTCACTGTATGCAATGAGCATGTGATTTATTTTTGGTGATGATTGAAAAGACGTGCCATGTACATCACTTTTTCGATATCTGGCAATGATGATCAAGGCCTTTCAATTTTCGTGTATTTATACATGCGTATAGCCTGCGACCACAGACGTATTTCCGGTCGTCGCTAACACATGTACTAAATCAATTTGGAATCTGAAAGAAACAAGTAAAAAGTATCGACATCGAGAAAGTAGGAAGTAAAAAACATTTAGCGAGTAAATCTGTTTCATTTCTTGTAGAATTAATCTCCTCCTCATTTCTCAAGGCCACTGTAAGCGGCTTCTTGTTTTTGCAATGGCTCGCATATTGTCCAGACCTACATTGATTCAGGCCTTGTGATAATTAGGGACAGGGCCTTAAAAGAATTTCTTCAGGGCTGCAGGCTTGTTTTGGTAGAAAAACAAGATCATCCCGGGCACTTCCCACATCAACCACAGGACAATTTAAACAACAAATTGTCATCTGTTTGCTTTTCTGTGCATCCCTTGTTAGCATCCTCATCATTAGATCCTAATCCAGTGCTGTCAACTCTCCACGATGATCTCTGACTCCAGAGATTGGACTGTATCTCCTGGTCTCCAGATTAATCCTGGGTAATCGCCGAAATTTGCCATTTCTTGTAGACTCGACTGTCCAACAATGACACTTCAAATATTTTGCATTGTGTGAGTTGTTTACTGTTAGCATCGAACATTTCCTCATAAACTCTGGTATGCCATTGTAATAATGTGATTGGTGGGAAGAAAGGCAATCAGGTCAAATGTTACAGTGCCAACATCTTTTTCACGCATTTTGTGTCATAGCAAAAATTTGTGACTATCGGAGTCAACAAGCATTTTTTTTTGCGCAAATAACGCCGTGTACCGGTACCGTGTGTTATGACATCGTCTATCGTTTGTTTCCTATCAATTCTCAATATTAGAAGACGTGGGGGGTTGAGAGCCTGCCTTCATGTGATCTTCTGGAGATGGGTAATGGGGGAGGATACACTAATGCTGCTACAGTTGGTAAAAGAATAGATTAAGAAAGGCTGCAATGTGATTACTGCAGACTTACCTTGCCATCCCTCAACAACAACTACAATTAATTTTATCTTAACATATAACTTGTAAAAGGCACTGGGACTGTTCTCAGGTATTAGAGATACTATAATTTAATAGTTTGTGTTATAATTGAACATTAATTTTTGTCTGCAAATTTGGCAGTTGAAGTTGTATTTGTGTTAATACAGTCACAGCTTCACTACGCATGGCCACACAATGGTATACCTGCCAACTCTCATGCCTTAGGCGTGAGTCTCACGCCTGCGGGTTGAAAACTTCGATCTCACGCCGGCTCACGCCTGCGGGCCAATTTCTCACGCCTGATTGAAAAACGTGAGTTGTTGCCGTCCTGCTTGACACAATTTCCAAAAATATGTTAACTCAGACCCATGTAAGGAACGAAAACCATTTGTAAAATGAATAAATGGCAATACCTTCCTCGCGATCTCTGATTTTTGAAGTGAAAAGCACTGGGAGCGAGCTCGCCTTTGGCGGACTTCGGCAGACTTCGGACGTCTTCGGAAGACTTCGGACTTCTTCGGGAATCGTCAGAAATGATCGTGTCGTCTTCAAAAATCCCAGCACTCCCAGGATAAAAATCTCACGCTTATATCTCAGAAAAATGTTGGCAGGTATACAATGGCCACTTCTTTACATCGGCCACTTTCCTGTCTTTAAGGTGGCCGTTGTAGAGAGGTTCAAGTGTAGCTACTGCATTTCATCAATAACACTGCTGTTTTTCTTTTTGCAAAGTGTGAAAGGTGTCAACAGGAATCAATGGGGGAGATATCCTCCTCATCAGGTATTATTATTTGTTTTTTTTTGTATCAATTATATATTGTTAAATGCGTTGTGGTCCTTAACGAAGTGTGTGCGCCTGCCTTTGGACATTTGAATACAGTAACATCGTTGTCTATTAAGTGAACTATCTGCTATTCAACACCTCTGCAAGATGGATCCTTTTTTAACTGCCACATCCTTGTTCTTCAGTCATTTCTATGAGTCAATTTTTCTCTATAATTCTTATAGCAGTAGATGTTTTATTGAAAAAAGCCAATCCCGTCTTAGGGGAAGTTGACCGTTTGTACATTAAGTAATTAAATAGCAATCCAAAAAAAAAGAACTGAGGTCCAACTATGCTTGCTGGAATGTTAGGAGTGTTTTGATGCCAACCATCCACTGCTGCTTTTTATCTGTTGTACAGAAATGCAATCCATTGCTACAACTGAGATGGCAAACTCTGTCATTACACTGCTGCGAGGAGCTGGTTTACTGGACAACTTAACTGAGATAGCAGAGAAGAGGAGGATTGAAGATGAACATGTTCTTACAGAGAAGCTGGAGATGGTTAAAGGTATGTTGATATGTCTGACCTACTTGCAGCCCTGTACATAATTGAAGGGTTTCCCGCAGTAGGGGACCATGTAAGCTTTTAATTTAGGCTGAGTTAGCAAGAGGACGGGAACGTCAGTTGACAACGGGATAGCCCGCGGAAAGGACTAAACACAACTTCCGGTGCTCATTTTGCCGCTCTGCCATTGGTCAAGCCAGTTGTTTGATTTGCACGCTCCGTCGTCAACTGACAATCCCATTCTGTTGCTAAATCAGCCTATTAATCAATATGTTGTTTTTGATGAAAGAAGCTAATTTTGTGCACTGTGACTTATTTTTACATGGCAAGTACCGGTACAGTTTTATATTTTATTTTACTGTTTTTTGCCTTGTTTTTTGAGAAAAAGAAAAAACACAATGTAAAAAGGCTCTGTTTTACATCATGATACCATTTGAAAAGCTATTGTGGGTTGTTGAAATTAAGCAATAAAGCATAGTAAGGCATATTACGTGTGTTAAAATGCTATTTTACATGAAATTTGCCTTTTGTTATCCTCCACAATTGACAAAGAGACTACAATGTAAGCAGGATAGATCTTGTTTCTTATAGGGGGTGTTGACCAACGCATCAGTCGAGTGTTGGTCAAGATATTGATTGATTTGTCGTTAGAGTGTCAGGCTAGTGTTGGTCCTGTACCGGCAATTGTCAGTTGAGTATCAGTCGAAGAGTAACTGATCATCAGTCATTCGTCAGTCAACAGGTGGTCGCAATAGTTTCTGTACTGTGTCGGCAATGCATCAGAACCTGTCGGTCGAGTATAGGTAATGTATCAGTGGCGCATCGTGAGTGCTGAGACAAACATTGTATCTTCATGTAAGCAATGCACAGCAAAAAAGCAATTACGGTTTTGAGGCGTGAAATTGGACTATCCACCTTTCTGGCCCAGGCCAACCTCATCCCCAGGGTCTTCTTGTTTTCCAATATGGCAGCAGAAGGAGAGAAGACCCTGACATATAGCAGCCTAAGACAATTGCTGATTGGTGCGTTTCATATGTGGTCATTGATTGGGTTACATCTTCAAAAACAAAGGTGGTGACTCGCGGTGGGTTCTTCATAGAAAAAGAGCACTGTCCTTTGAGGCCTAACCGGTGAATAGTCAAAAAATGGAATGCAGGATGTATTTTGTTTACTTTCATACATTCTCCTATAAATTCAAAGTCCCAACGAACTCCCACAGAGTTTGGGCTGCCTGTGAAATAATCAGGAAGAATTGATAGCTCATTCTGATTCTTCTTAAGTCTTTTTTTTTCTGGTGGCCAACTTGATTATCTCATCAACTTACTGATCATAGCTTTTACAGGTTTGAAAAGAATGCTGTATGGTTTTCCTTTTTTTTTTTTGCATAGAAACAAACAATGAGCTAGAAAGCAGCATCCATGAAATAGAAGAAAAGGAATCGATGATTGAAAAATTGTCTGCAGAGCTTGAAGAATTAAAGAAAGAAGTTCAAACAAAAGCTGATGAACGGGAGAGGTTGCTCCGCAAGCGAAAAAGTCTTAACGAGGAGTGCAATTCTCTTCAAAAGAAGCTTCATTATTGTGATAGTCTCTTAAAGTTTGTCCCTAAAGAAAATTTGGACAGTTAAGATCATGGTTATTGTAAACTACATGTACAGGACTATAAATATGTGTGTTCTAGCTGGAACACCTGACTATCCTCCTTATGAGGAACCAAAGGATGTTTTTTGTCTGAAATTTTGGTTTGAAGGATTTTTGTGGTTTTGTAAACAGAAAGGCTTGGACATAGTCAAACTGTGAAAAGCTAGGACTTTTTTGCGAATATTTTTAAATCTTACACTAGTGTTCATTTTTTCAAGTGTAGGTAAACCGGAATTTTTGTACAGTTCTTACCTCCACGTGGGACCACCTCTCGTAAGCTGCCACCTCCCACAAGCAACCATCTATCAAAAGCACCAAAATTTTCCTTGTCAAACGATTGCAGTTAGAAGCTCTCGTCAATGACCACAACCAAATTTTTTTGCGATGAGGGGTTTAGAATTTTCCATTGTTTTTACTCTCTTGTAAGCAAGTATTAGACACATCATTAATTAATCTCTATGTTCACTGAATGCATGTACTACACTGTTACAGATTATGCAAGAATATTTTCATGACAACATGAAACTACTCATATTGTAACTTAGAAATAGCATTCAGTGAATCTCTTTCAAAATGTAGATGTGTTCAAACCTTTTCTAGGAAAAGACTTCCTGTGGATAAATTCTTGTAAGTGACCAGTGAATCTTAGCATATTGGCTGGTTACTTATGCAAGGTTTGACTGTATTAACAAATCCATTCCCTAAAAATTGGTTCTTACCTGTTCTAACTTGGAGCTTAAATTGTTATACTTTACGAGAACTTTAAGACATGATTTCAACTCGTATGGAGGTTATACTCATAAGACAAAAAGATAATGAGAAGTGGTCTGGAATTGCCCTAGATTAGCATTAATTTGCCTTGAACAACTCAGCCAAGTTCTAGCTTTTTGTTGGTGTGCATATAATGGCTGCAGTTGTTCAGATCACTGAAATTTTACCAAGCTTAAGTTTTCATTTCTCTCAGACTGACAAGTGAGATGTTCAACCATCTCTGTATTTTTGACACATTTGTCATCATCTCTCTGTGCCAGAAGGCACATGAATGCTGTATATGTTTGACACAACACACAAGAAATACATTTCCCCAAGAGAACAGAAGGCCAGGTAAAAAATTTATTTATGAGTTAGCATTAACCAGCTTTTCAATAAGAGTAACTGGGCTTCGGCACATCAGGGTATGAACTCACAGTAATGCAGTGCTGTCATCTCTCCCGGATAATCCAGGAGCCTCCAGATTTTGGACCTTATCTCCCAGTCTCCAGATTAGAGTCTGATCTCTCCTGGATGATCGCCAAAGTTGCTCTTTCTGTAGACTCGACTTTCAAACCATAAAATTTCAAATATTTTGCGTTTTTTGTGGTACTGTTAACGAGGAACGTTTCCTCATAAATTATTCTGGTATGCTACTGTAATTTAAGCAATAATGTCTCGCAATATGAACTGTTTGTGTGCTATAAACGTTGATCAGAATCAACGAGCATTCTTGGCACAAATGACGTCATTTGTCGTGCGATATGACATCATGTATCATTCCTTCCCTCTCAATTCTCAATATTTTGATGACGTGGAGGTTGACAGCCCAGTAATGGCTCACTAGTTTTTGCAGCAGTATCATAGGGCTGCTTATTACAGTTATTTTTCTTTTTTTTTTGAAAAATCTGTGTTGAAAACAACAGAATATTTACAAGTGCACAACTATCAATGTGAGCAAATAGTTTTTTACTCTAACCTGCAGTTTACATTGGAGTTACATTGGTGTACTGGTACTTGATATTCATGGCATGGAAAGCTGTGAATGTTGATCAAGCTCTGGCCAAAATAGTTACAACATTGTTGTTAGCTGATGGATGTAGCCTCTTGCCCTCCCCCCCCAATTACATTGTTGGTAGTGAGATATGTTTTAATAGTTAAAAGCTTGTTGTCACAACAGTACTTTTTTTCTTTAAGTGATTTTTTTTTCTGTAAAATAATGTTGACGCTGTTTGGACTGTTGTCAAACAAAATTCAGTGATGTAATCGCACATGCAAAGTGTAACTAATCTTCCTTTGCAAACATTATTTGTGTCTGTTGAGGTAATGTTGTGACTGACAAGCTGACACGGTCATATCTCGTGGCATTCTTTTAAAAAATGTTGTGACCACTTGACCAGCACTTTATTCATATGCAACAGCCTTATTTAAAGTTCAGACTTAGTTTTGTTCAGAAGATAAGCATCTTTGATAATGGACATTATTTTAATTTACAACTGTTGTTGTTAAGTGCTTGTAGGATTCCAATATATTTTTGTATCATGGTTATACACATTATTTGGATTACTGTAAAGTTCTGAAAGTAATGACCCTCAAAAGAAGCAAACCTCCGAAGGCAGTGATAAAATGTCACAGGTGTTAGCAAATCCCAAAAGTAGCGATCCCCAGAGAAATAATGACTTTGCGAAAGAAGAGACCTAAAAACTAATTTCTCTTTTTGCAAAAAATAACAGATATGATACATATCCTGAACAAATGCCACACTGATCTGAGGTTTATTAATAATGATTATTTTCCATTTCTATTCATAACTCTTAAAGTACAGAATATAAATTACCTTTTTTCAAAAAGTATTCCTTTCACATTAATTTTGTGATTTTATATATTGAAGTGCCAGGTTGGAGTACGTTTTAGCCATCCAAAAGTGACAACCGCCCGAATGAAGGGAGCCTTCAAAAGTAGCGATGGCAGAAGGTGGCTAAATCTGAAAGTAATGAGGTTCATTACTTTCGGAACTTTATTCTCATCTTTCAGCATTTATAATACCAGTACTTCTATTAATTAAGGGAACAGTTGCAGAGGTTCCATAGGTGTCCTCCAAGTAGTTTTGAAGGTCAATGGACCACATAGACATTTTAATTGTCAATATTGACATCTGTTAAAATAATACAAATGAAGAGGGTCCTGGAAATAAGTACCCTGAGAAAACAGCCTCCATTTTGTGATGTCACCACTAGTTTCCCTGCAAATGAAATCTGAGTAACGAGCACAGAAATTCAATACTAATGACGCTCCACTACCGGGATCTGGGTGGTGTTTCTGACTGGTAGTGCCAGTGGGAAATTTGCTTCAACCAGTCAGAGGCACTACCCAGTTCTAGGTAGTGACATGTCATCAGTATCAATGGTGTTTCTGTGCTCGTTTCTCAAAGGTCATATGGCAGTGAAGCCAGTGTTGGCGTCGCAAAATGTCAGCTGTTTTGTCGGGCTAGGATATAAGCCCTAATTAAGAGATTTTTGGTATTCTTGAAGATCACTCTTAAAAGATGTCCTTTCTTTCTAGAGTTTGACATTAGTTCAAGAGTCACCAAGGGCCTTATTCAACCCACTTTATAGAGTGTTTTCACATGACATCATGGCGGCCATACTGGTGTTCCAAAACAATGAAATGGCAGCCATGTTGGTGTCCCAAACAGGTCCTGTGGGATTTGAACTCTTTTCTTATGCAAACACTTTCTTTTGTTCCAATAAATTTGCATAGATGCTGGCCACGTGATTGAAAACACTCTTTAAGAGGAATCTAGGATCTTGTGTAATTTGGGAGCCCTCAACCAATTATCGGTCTTTGGTCAACACTATTGGCTAATACTTGGTCGTCATGTCGACCCACTTATCAGCCAATATATTGATCGACATGTAGCTGACACTGAGTTGAGTGTCGGTCTACATGATCAGGTATCAGTCGATACTAGGTTGAAATACCTATGATATGGCAAGTGTCAAATGTTAGCAGAATATCGGTCAACTGTTGGTGGAATATTGGTTGCAATTGACCATCATACAACATAATTTCAGAACTGAAATGTAAGAACAGACAGTAGGTCAGAGAATGTTCAACAAAGCCACCCACTTAAGAAGTCTGACCACAAATCAGAGTTCATATCCTCTCGAACTCTGTGCCTCCTCAATCAAGTAAGAGTGCAGCATGCATGACATGCGGAGGAATGTTTGAAGAAAAAATTGAGCCGACAGTTTTTTCACATTAGACAGATCAATGCCTTGTCAATGGAAACGACAAAAATTTGAGGACACATGCAGGAAATGTAACTCTAGAAGAAGAGTCAACCAAGTATCATCAAAGTATTGGCTGAATGTGGGTGGCCTATTGATTGATGTGTCCACTGACCCTCAGTCGACATATTGGCTAACATGTTGACCAACATGTCCGGTGACATCTTGACTGTTAGTCAACTGAGTGTTGGCCGACATGTCGACCGACCAAGTACATCCACCGATACTTGGCCAAGGGGTGCTCAAACTTCACAAGAGCTGCATCCTTTACAAAATTATCATCCTTGTCATTTAGGGAATTTGGCTGTTTTGGACCAAATTGTCTCTTTAACAGGTACTAACCTTTGACCAAAAACAAAATCAGTTAAAAAATATACCCTTTAGAAGTAGTGAAGAGAAGCTAGAAGATAAACAAGAGAAACTTCTCGTGTAATCATGTGCTCAACTATAATACTTGTGACCTTGTATTGATACAGTGAATGTCATGTAAGGGAATTTCACACTAAAAATTAAAAATTCTGTTGTAAAAGAATCAACATTTTCCCGATATCACCTAATTGCTGTGAGTTTCCCAAACACGGGCTGGGAAGTCTAAGTACAGAGCTACAGAGCAGGGGCGGATCTAGGGGAGGGTGCTGGGGGTGCGCACCCCGCCCCCCCCCGGATGACCTACGGCTTTCTAATTAACACTGTGCAGTCGCTCACAGTCATACAAAATCTGCTGTATCGTTTGATATGTATTCTCAGCAGTTCACATTATGTTATTTCCTAGTCAAAAGCCCTCTTCTTCGTATTCGCTTTTAAAATTTTTTACGTCATCGGTCAGTTAGTGGTGCACCCCCCCCTAAGAAAAATCCTGGATCCGCCCCTGCAGAGAGTTTCATGGCAGGCTACAATATTATGATCCATACATGCAGGCGCCCATGATAGACAGGCTCCTGGACAAGACGTTTTGTTTACATGCAAGTACCGTATTTATTCGATTAACCGCCCTGGGCGCTTATTAAATTTTTGGACCTTGAGAGTGGGCGCTTATTCGAGGTGGGCGCTTATTCGAGGCTGGGCGCTAATTAAATTTTCACCATTTTCAGCAAGTGAAGTATGTTTTTTTGGCAACAAAACAATAAATGCCTCTAACAAAACGCGAAGAAGTAACAAAGCAAGGTTTCTATACAATACTCTGAAGAAAACTCCGTCCTCGGGAAAGTCTCTTATTAGAATTTATTCACTCAAGTGGGTGGGGTGGGGGTGAACGCTTATTAGAGTTTTATTGGGAGGAGGAGGGGTGGGCGCTTATTCGAGGCTGGGCGCTTATTAACTTTTTCTGCCTTTAAGATGGGCGCTTATTCGAGGTGGGCGCTAATTCGAGGTTGGGCGCTTATTCGAATAAATACGGTACTCTGTTTTCTGTCTCCTGGTTATTTATAAGAAAACAACCCTTTTTCATTTCTCCACCCTCGTTGGCATGCGTAAACCTACCTAGAATTCCCCATGAAAGTGTATATATACTGTATTTGAAAGGGGTTGCCCCTATGCCACACCCAGGAATCACCTGTTCATATACAGGGCCGGGGGGCCGTTTGTCGAAAGTCCCGATAATTAACGGGCCCGGAGAGCTGTTGTTGTTTACATTCAAGATAGAGGTTTCAATAGTTTTGCACATCAACATGATAAAGCTATCAGTTAACAAAACAAAATGGACTAGTTTGTCAGCTAGAATCCGCGCTTTTAGATTTTGATTTGAATATTCAATTAAATAATTTTAATTTCGGGATTGAAAAGTTGTCGGGACTTTCGAGAAACGAACGGGCCACAGGTCCACTACACAAATCTCCTATTGATATTGCGCCCAATTAAGTTTTTTAGGTGATGTAGTCGCAGGTTTTGCCACTGTCTTCGATAGAAGTTTCCATTCCCTTTCTCTTCCCATTCTCCCCTTAATTTCCCCTATTCCATTCCCATTTCATTCAAAACAATATGGCGGAGGACATGGTCGAGGTTGAACAAATTTCGTCTGCTGACGATCAACAGCCAAAACCTCAACAAAACGAAGTTATTAAGGCTTGCAAAATAACTCCTAACTTTGAGCACTCTTATGAAAAATGTTTTTTGTGTGAACTGGAGCACGATAGCCCGGAATTCGGACCTTATTGTGCGTTGTGTCACGACTTCCTGTATCCAAACGTTTTGCTTCTTCATGAAAGAAAACTGGAAAGTGTGAATTTGGTAACGGAAGATTCTTCGTTGAATTTGTTAGCATCTGAAAGCTGTGAATTGAATGTAATTTCTGGAGTTGTGGTTTTAAAAACAGAGGACAGCGGATGCGAAAGTGAAAACGAAAAGACATCGGACTTGCAAATAAATTCAACCAACAGCGAGTCAGCTGTTGTACCAGGACACAAGCTTCCTTATTTGTCACTTTATGAACGGGTTCGAGCACCAGATCTTGTAGCACAGCGGCTCGCAAATGAGCTACGTTTTGTTGAAGAGGACTTGTTTGAGACACTGCCACCAGAAAGTGAGTTGAAAAAAATTTCAAGTTCCCAGTGGTGTGACTTCAATTACAGGGCTGACTCAACGAGTAGGCAAAGTGAATCCCATGTTCTGAGCGGCTGCCAGATTAATGTCTAGCAATCCTGACCTCATGCTTGGTGAAATAACCATACAGGCTCGTTAAATATTCTGGCATGCACCTGTACATTTGAATGTGGGCAAACGTTTGGGTGAGAAATACGGTGTAGAGAGGATGGGACCCTGCCATCTGGATAGGGGATGAGAGGCCCTATTAGTGGAGATGACCGGTTGTTGTGTAAATTCACTAATATCTTAAGTTGTTTTGCCCAATATGAAACGAGTGCTGCGCATATTAGGCCTGGCCAGGGGGTTTTGGGTATCTGGGTTCTTCTTTATTCAGGTATAGTACTGTAAAGTATCAGCTATCTAAACCTGTAAAGTTGCTGGGTGGCAAAAAAGTTAATGACCCATACATTCTTTGTAATAATTAATTTCCAGTTTTTCAAAAAGATTCTCTCCGACACTAGTCGGTGTATTGGAGTCAAACTTTCAGAGACAACTGGAAATATTGTTATGTTATTTCCTTTTTCAGAGATTTTATTTTATTATCTTCATCAGATCATGACAAGTATATATGTTAATGAGGCCAAAAATGTAAACAAAGATTCGCCTGTACTTACAGTTTATGCTTCTCCTGGGAACCCCCTCTCAATCGACTGGCTCTAGTTAGGATCAGCATTGTAAAACCCCCTTTTAAACTGTGCTCTGCATGAAATTCTCATTACAGACATCTAATGGTACAAGACAGGGATGGAAGAACATTTTTTCAAGTGGGGGCAGGCTGATTAGTGACTGGGAATCAAGAGGCCAGAGACACTCTCCTCTTAGTCTTTATTTTTTTGGCCAGAAAAAAAAAAATAGGAGAGGGGGGAGGTTAATTAAAGACTGGCTTTGCCAACCTTGCAAGGCTGCAACCATTTTTTTAAATCCCTGCAGGTCTTTTCATGTAAAAGTTCTCATAACTAACCACCCTGGTCAGAACTTAAACAAAATAATAAGAAATTATCATCAAAGTCTGGAACATTCTGCCACACCACCTTAATCTTTGTCTTAATCTTATTTCTTGTTGTGTTGCAGTTCTTCTTTTGATATTTTCCTTTCTGGATGACATTTCCCTGTGCATGGTGGGGTAGGTTTGTCAGTGGTGGCACCAACTCGCAGGTGAACAAGATCAGTGGAAAAAGCATGTGCTGACCAGATGGCCAAGTTTGTTTCAGCCTGCCAACAAGCCCAGCATAAGCTGGCAGAATCTCTACATAAAAATGTGAGGATTTTTAGTGTCTGTGGTTTTGACAAATGGATGTCAGGGCTGTTATTAGTGTTATTGTTTGATTTTCCACCTAGTACTCCTTGTATTTACTCAGAAACTTGGAATCTTAGGGACAGTCCTGAATGTGAATTTCTGGGTAAACGAAGCCTCATTTTGGATGTTTACAACTAGTGCCATTTGTTTGACCAGGACTTGAGATAGCTTGCTAGGACGTTTTTGTTTTTAGTTCTCTGACAAAGCTCGTGTTGGTGGAAGTAGGGACTTGCCTGCCCATTACCTGGGTTGGACATGGTCTCCATTTACATGTGCAAGTGCAAGAGGCCCTGCCAGGGTAAATTCTGACAAGCGACATGGCCCAAAGCAAAGCTGACAATAAGCGACAAGCATTTATAAACACCGACACGAGATGTTGTAAAATTTAGATGGGCGACATGGGACCCCCCTGGCAGGGCCTCGTGCAAGGCTGTACTGATTTGATTTTTTTGTCACTTAATTGCATCCACTTATTTTCGCGTTTAATAAGCACTTGGATTTTCAGAGCATTCATTAATCATGACCAATGTTGTGATGGTCTTAAGAGTATCTTTAGAAGGGCAAGTTGCATAGTACAAACATGCACCCCTTTAACTATCAGTTCAAACTGACTTTAATATACTTGACAAGTTGCAAAATATGAAAGCACTGGCTTCCTAAAGCAAGCAATCGATTCGTGAAACCTGTTTTCAATAGCAGACACCAACATGTAATGCAACTTCTTCATCAAAATCAAGGTAGATTGATCAATACAAAATCTATTAAGATCATACCTTAAATTTTAGGAGTTAAATACTTGAATTCAAACAAAGCAAAAATATGAGAAAATATAAAATAAAACTTCATAAGTGGGTGGAAGACCATAAAATTCCGAAAATAAGCCCCTCCATGTATAAGCCCCCCAAACTCGTAACGTAAAAAATTCCCCATTAAATTGCCCCTCCAAATATAAGCCCCCCCCCCCCCCCCGGGGGGGCTTGCACTTGGAAATTGCCCTCAAATACAAAGTAAAACAAGGCAAAAACGGTAAATCTCCTTTGAACTATAAGGCTAGCACAATCGATTTTGAAAGGCAAAGTTCCCTCCCGTAGATAAGCCCCTCAAAAATAAGCCCTTCAAAAAGGGCCTTTGAAAAATGTAAGTCCCGGGGCTTATTTTCGGAATTTTACAGTATGATCATCGGGAGCGTGGTCCTGAAATAGGACAATATACCTTTTCACCTTGTATGTTTTGTTTTCCCATTTCAGACCAGGTGATGGTACCCCAGAGAACTGTTTCTTTCAAATGTTGTCAAAAGGCAAATTTCCTTGAGAACAGATTGGGGTAACAAAGGGATTAGTGTATGGAATTTTTGACAGCCTTATTTCCATTTTCCTCAGGTTACAAGGTGTTACATGCAGGAGGTGCTTTGAACAAGGTTGTGTTCAAGTGATGTAAACAGATTTCAGGCACTGATCAACAGACTACAAGTGAAAAAAAAAACATTCAAGTGCATGTGCCATTATTCCAATTTATTACTTGGGCATGATGTTTATTGCATGATGCATTACACTGTGGGGAGTGCTATTAAAGCCGAAACCAGGGGAGCTGATAGCTAATCCAATTTTGAGAATTTTGTTATTATTATGATACTTGTATTGTACAAGAAAACAACATACTAAAAGCCTTTTTCTGTAAACAAGATTATCATTAAATCTCAAAATTCCTTTGCAGCATTCCCCTGAAGATGATATTGTTCACTCATGGCGGAACAAACGATTGAAAAGCGAACTCAAGGGATTGCTTACAGATCCCCCTGAGGGTATCCGAGCACGTCCCCTAGACAGTACTCTCTCATATTGGCAGGCCTCAATCAAGGGTCCTCCTGATTGCCCATATGAAGAGGGCCTATTCTTTCTCCATTTGGAAATTCCAAAGAGTTATCCCATGAGACCACCAATTGCCAAATTCATAACAAGAATTTTCCATCCCAATGTGAGTTACCATGGAGATATTGGTATAGATGCGCTAAGACACAACTGGAGTTTAGCACTGACAATACCAAAGGTGTTGGTTAGCATTCGATCACTACTGACAGACCCATATTGCCAGATATCTATGGAACCTGAAATTGCCTCTTTCTGTGAAAGTGACAGAGAAGGCTTCAACTCAGTTGCCAGAGAGTGGACAAAAAAATATGCTAAATTGCACCTAACTTCCTGATTTACAAAAATCATTTTAAATAATCATAAAAATTAAATATTTTCTGTGAAAAGAAACTGGAATATGAAACAAACCCCTTATAAAAGTCCCTGGAAATGAAAAATCCTTATTCATGGCTGCAGTGATTAGCTGTTTGCAAATTCACATAACACCTTCAGTTGAATCCCGCTCTACAGACACCTGTATATAACAGACAGTTTCATTTGTCCTGACAAAAATCTTGTATTATAAATATTTTCACAAAAATTAACGGACAAAGGACACTTCTGTGTGCCATTAATCAAACTCTCCTTGTTCATCAACTCCACTTTATGGACACTGGTTTACCAGTGCACTAGCGGTCTATTTTCATTCTAACAATTATGGGCTAACAGAAAATGTAGACATTGCTAATTGATCTTGTATTTCTGTGAATTAAACCCTTTAAGCCCCAATTTCCACATACAAATTCTCCAAACTGATCTCTATATATTTCCTTAATTAAGAATGTGTTTAGAATTTGATAAAAGATCAAAGAGTCTTCTCTTAGCTGATCATTTTATTAATTCTCATAACCTTTTCTCTTGACATTGTATGGATATTTTTTGGAGAAAATTGATGTTGGTCACCATTGGGACTTAAAGGGTTAATAGGATTTTGCCATTAACAAACAGTAGCAAAATCACGTGATATATTTTTTATCAGTCTATCCTGTCCTCTCATGTTTTAGTCTTGTCTATAGCAATTTTAGTCTGAGGCTATGATATTAATAAATGATTGTGAGGTTTCTTTCGCGTGATCTTTTTACAGTTACAATTTTACGTTTCCCTGTAAAACTGTCTGCTTTAGTGTTTCTATCATTAAAACATGTGTCCACGATGTTTTGTCTGACAGCCCACTTGTTACGAACACTCCGACAATATGGACACTATGGCATGTCCTTTGGTGTCTGTATTGACTGAGCTGCACTGTATTAGAATCTTTCTTAAAGACTCCTCTATATTTCACGGCTCATAAGCTGTGCTTGTTTGTTTCCTGAAAGAATTTTAGTCAAATATGTGCTGTGCATGAAGCAAATCAGGTCATGTCAGACAGAAATTCAAAAATATTTCCCTTTGTAACTGACATAACTACAGTGGGATTTACTTCTAAGTATGCTGATTGATAGCCATACTGGCTTATAATTATTATTTTGAGAAATGTACATTTTTGGATCACTATAAAGTAAAGCAAGTCACCCTAGTTATTTAGTTTTAGTTATTTACTGGTACATTTAATTAGTTTAATTAAAAAATTTGGAATTACAACAGTAGGCATAGCCTTTGTGTTAAGATAAGACGATACAATAATTATAGCAAAGAAGAACATTTTTAAAGAAACTCTCTTGTAATATTTGTCTATAATTCTCAAGTTTTGACAATTTTGCTTGCTGGATATACTAACTTTCCCTATTACAGCATTCATAATTTATTGTCAAGATGAAGAACAATGTTATCATTTTGCCTGTGATGGGAAGGAACAGTGGACAGGAATTTGAGGGAGATTTCTTGTAACCTGAATATCAGGCCTTCCATTAGTCCATTAGTCTCCTTTGCAGCAGTTCTTTGGGTGGCGGGGAGGAACATTGGGGTCGTGACACTAAAAATGGCTGCGTAGGAGACTAGATTTGCTCTTGCTTTTACCTACTTGCCCTCAAAAAGCCGGAAATTCAGGGTTGATTATTTCTTCCATTTCTGCCCTCTATCCATTCTTAGTGTGATATTTATCCTGGCCCTCTGCCCTTCTTTAGTCCCCTGGCCCTAGTTCAAACCTTGGATAGCCCTATCGAACAGATAAATCATCAGTCTAGTGGATAAATATTGGCATTATCCACTGGATAGAGATTTAACCAGTTGATCAGGATAGCGTTATTAACCTTTGAAGAACTGGACCCTCATGTAGAAGGTCTACCTCATATCCTCTTTCTTGAGGGTTCTTAATTTGAGTTTGCACAGATTTTTAAACTGTGGCTTGTTTTTGACAACAATGGCACAACGCAGTGTAATGACCCTTGTCTGAGCTGCCATTTGGCCATCAGGCAAATATGGATAAAGGCTATTTGCCTTGAAAGGAATTATTCTTGTCCCTTGCGACTGAACGAGACTTTTTTCAAGGTCTGCAACTTACAAAGTATAGAGACCTGCTATAGGTCAACAAGTCTTGAAAGCCACCAAGTCACTAACTTGCATACGTATAAATCACCTTTCTTAAACATAAAATAATGCTGATGGATCCTTCCACCATCTGACTCATTCATTAATGAATGAGTATATTAATGTCATTGTTGGCTATTCGGTCCTTGCGCAAGTTTTTCTGTTCCCCGTCATTCAAGATCGAGGCTTTAAAAACAGATTATAAAGGTTTCCACTGACCTTTCTAAACTGATAGGCTTTTCAATAGGCCTTTTGAAATAGTCGGTCACACGATCAACTTTCTGTAAACACAAAATAGTTCACTTTTGGAAAATTTTGTTAGCAGAAACTGGAAGAGCATAAATTTAAATTTTCATTAGGTATTTTCCTTACGCATTTAAAGGCTCAAATTGCCTTTTATGAATAAAAAGGAGATTAAGCCCCATAATGCTTAAGGTAATATTTTACAACAGTTTGGTAAACTTGCAAGGATTTGTATGGAAAATCACTCAAGCATGACTGGGTGACAAGGGTTGTTTCTCCCATACAAATCCTTCTAATTTTCGGCCACCGTTGCAATCACTACTTTTGAGATATATGGTTGAAAATTGAAAGGTTACCTAATTTTAATATGCTCTTTCAGTTCATGCTAACAGCATTTTTCAAAAGCGAACTGTTGTCAAGTTTACAGAAAGTTTTGTCATGTGATCAACTAATGCAAAAAGCCTATCATTACAAAAAGCCTCTTTCCAATGCAATATTAGTGACAAATGCGACAAACTTGGAAACTTTTCAATAAAAACAGTTCAGAACCTGCTGGTCCAAAATTATAATTTCTTTAGATCTTCACTTTTCTTCGTTCATCTTTACTGCCAGACAAGGTGTCTACAGACTGTGGGTTTCCCCTTCACCATTTTCTTCAGATTTGAACAAATGCTAATGTTCCACATGTGTGACTCTCTGGAAAACTGAACCCACCAGAATATGGTTTCATGTGTAATTCCCGTAGGGGTATAAGGAGTGACTTCAATTTTGTGTCTTATGTCAAAGACCTGTCCATGCATGCTTTAGCAATTGCAAAGGTAACAAATGGTTTCTCTCCCTTAAAGTGGAATGAAACATGTTAAAGTCTGCTTGTTGGATCTTGGTCAGATATGCCTGGCAGGAAACCTAGAAATCAGCAAAGAGGGACTTCAGTGATGTAGCTGGTATGATACTTTGGCCTAGAGCTTTAACTCATTAAGGCAAACAGTGGACTCAACGGCATCTGAGAAATTGTTTCCCCTCTGCACCACTTTTTAAGTATGGGGAGTCAACTCATACTTGTACTCATGAACTGTTTACATGAATCAAATATGGCTCCTGAAGGAGGACCAAGAACTTTTTATCAGGTTACCCATCAATGATTAAAAAAAGCATGCTAGGAGTTGTCTGACTGCCAGAGATGTTTTGCTCCTGATGGTTCTATTACAACCCACAGAAGAATAAAGTAAGACGTACAAAACCTGTCGATGTCATACTTATCCTTGCAGACCAGAAGGCCAAGCCATTTGAGGTGCGAAATAAAGGCAGTACCCTCTCAGTTATTTCAAGACCGTAAGTGCTGGTCCAGCTTATGATTTATTGAACTTGGGCCTGCTAATCTGAAGTCGCATACCCAACAATCAGGTGAATTTTGGCCACAAAATTATTTGTACTTGAGTGTAATCACAGTTACTTACAACCATATTATAACAACCTTGCTAAATTTACCAGCAAGCCTTCAGGGCAAGGCAACACTCAAATGCAAGGTAAATGGCACACTTGAATGCCACTAAGGGCACATGAGAGGTTAACTTGTGCAGTGAACAGTAATTATTGTTAACTATTTTATATTCTGAATCCACACAGTTATCTGGAGGTGTCAAAACTAACTTGTGGAACATAATTAACCAGTGTCATTAATGCAATGTATGTTATATTCTTTTACACACATCTCATCTTAGCCATACTTAAGTACTCAAATCTACACCAAATCATGAGCTATTCTGACCAGACACAAACCAAACTGATATCATCTTACCATGGGTAGAAATACTCTAGATGCCACTTTTGGGGCCTTTGACATCAATGACTTTGCCTGTGATGCAAAACATAAACCAAAAACCAAATAGTACATACAGCTTACAAATTTATAAACCTGGTTTAAACATAGTCACCCAACTCATTTAAAATTTGTTCTGGCAATTAATATGATTGAACTAACACCTCTCATGTAATATGGGAGAACTGATTCTAATGAATAAAGGCTAACTTAATAATTGTTTAAATCTCCTTGATCATCTTATCAATTGACAATTCAGACATTTTGTGAAATCCACGCCTAGTGGCCTTAAGTTTGGAAACTTTTTATGTTTGTCATAAAATTGACCTCTGCAAAGGAAGCTTATCTTTTGTTCAACTAATAAATAAAAAGTACATACTGTTGAAAGATGAGAGTGTGCTAAACTGGCCAGATCATAAGTGACATCTTTGACTGCTTGAGTTGTTCTTCCTCTGATGATGTCTTCTTGAGAAACACCATGCTATAAGTAAATTAAATTATTAAAATAATTTTTAAAAATCCTTTTTTGAAATTGTATAATAATTTAAAATACCATAAAATTCCGAAAATAAGCCCCGGGGCTTATATTTTTCAAAGGCCCTTTTTGAGGGGTTTATTATTGGAGGGGCTTATGTATGGAGGGAAATTTGCATTTAAAAATTGATTGGGCTAGCTTATAGTCGGAAGGAAATTTACTGTTTTTTCTTTGCTTTACTTTGTATTTGAGGGCAATTTCCAGGCACAAGCCCCCGGGGGGCTTATATTCGGAGGGGCGATTTCACAGAAGGTTTTTGATGTTACGAGTTTAGGGGGCTTAAATTTGGAGGGGCTTATACATGGAGGGGCTTATTTTCGGAATTTTACGGTAATTGGTATTACCTTGCTTCACTGTTACCCTGCACTTTTTGATAAGACAAAAAGGAGTAAATGGTTTCAATGCAGCTCTGTCGATAGTCTGTTGTGGGCTGTAATCTTTGAAGTTGGTGCAGGAGGTACCTAGTGGCCTAGACATTCTACACCCTTTCAAACAAGACACTCAATGTACAGCCTTCATTATTTAGCCTGTGCCAGGCTCTCAGATAGTATAGTGCAGACATATTAGAACGAGCAAAGCAAAAATAAGAGGCGTGCGACTTGGGAAAGGGGGCGGTGGCGGCGAGAAAACTGTCTCTCCCCAGCCCCGGCGTGTTTTTCACATTTCTTTTTACTGAACGACGACTTTCCACCACTATCTCGGAGCCTGGAACAAGCTATCATTATTGCGAAGTATAGACTGAAGAAGCTAGTTTTGCATTTCAACTTTAAAACCCACTGGCACCAAGAAGTGGATGTATTTAACTACCATAGCTTCTGTCTTGTCAGTGATCTGACTTAATTTGATTGCAAAACCCAGTTTTTGTGTTGAACAGTGATCTGGCGCTTGTCAGACTGATTGGCCCAAGCAGGTAGTAAATAGATACATAACATTGTTACCTTTATCATTACATCGCTAGGAATGTACACTTTCCCTCTGCTGCCATGGAAAGGAGTGGCCCTCAATAACGTTACAACTCCTATTGCTTTTCCAAGATGGCTTGCAGCATGGTCAGCCTGTACATCTTTTACCCCTACATGGACGTGCCCATTCAAACAAAGTAAAAAGAAGTGTCATATTACTAAAAACAAAAATTTGATAAAGTAAACCTTTTGTTTGGAGGTAATGAGGTAGATCCTTAGCTTACAGTTGTTACTGATAATGGCAAAGAGTCCATAATGCAGAAATGGAAGAAAAATTAGCTAATGTAGCCAAGAAAATGATGATCAAGTGGGGCATACTAAATTGGCATATTGAAAATTGTTCATTGAAAAATATAAAAGTGGGTTGGTAGATACACCACCAACATGCTAGCCCGTGGGTTAGTAGACACTCAACCAACATGCTAGCCAGCTGGGTTCGTAGACACTTCACCAACATGCCTGCACATAGGATGGTAGACACCTGATGAACAGGCTAACCCCTGGGTTTCTAGACACTCTACCAACATACTTCCCAGTCTGTTGCCAGACACTCAATGAACATGATAATAATAATAAATAAAATAAATGTCTTTATTTTGCCTGTTAAAAAAAAAAAAAACGTTACAGAGAGTGAAGTATACAAATCATAAATCGCACAGATTATTTACAATTACCATGGTATAAAACCTGATAAAACCTTGGATATCTATATTTTTAAATTACTAAGTTGTATTTAAACCTTATTCTATTAAAGTAACAGTTCTGAAAATGTTCTGTATTAATCCATGGTAATTGACTTGCTTGTGATAGCCAGAGGGTTGGTAGATACGCCAACAAAATGCTCGCCAGTGGGTTGCTAGAGACTCCACAAACACGTTAGTCACTGGGTGGATAGACACACTACCAAAGGAGGGAGTAAGTAAATACCCAAGGAACATACTAGTCAGAGACGACCGCCAACATGCGAACGTGTTGGTAGGCACTATCTATGAACATGCTAGCCAGTGGGTTCATAAACATTTCACTGACGATGGTAGACACTCAACCATACCAACAAGCTTGACTGTTAGACACTCCATGAACATGCTAGCCCTGGGTTGGTAGAGACACGAAATGGTAGACATTCCATGAACATGCTAGCCAGTGGGTTGGTAGAGACACCACCATGCTAGCCACTGGGTTGGTAGACATTCCATGAACATGCTAGCCAGTGGGTAATTGAAGAGGATCATGCATCTTTTGGGCAGTGTCGATTGATGTATTGACCAATATCTCGGTTGACTGTCAATCAACATATCGGTCGCTATGTCAGTCAAGAGCTGGTCAAGTCTCAAGCAATATGTTGGAAGCCCTCGGCCACTACAGTCTATCGCTTGGTAGTCAGGTGATAGTCGGCCAATACTTTGCCAGCGGATCACTGATAGATTGCCGACATATCACCGACAGTAGGGACCTTACGAAACTACAACAGCGACAGCAACATCAAAAAGCAATAGGTTTAGTTAGCAAAACAACAACTCTGCATGTACATCACACCCTTTGGTACATTTCTTTGCCGTTCCTGCATGACCAAATTTTAAGTTTTTCGGAGGATGAGAATTGCAAGGCAATAAATTCTACTATCTCTTTCTTGAATTGGGTGCCAGCGCCAAAGAAAGTCGTGTCTGATAGCCTGGGGCTAGTGGATTTTACTAGCGGGCTAGTGAATTCTGTTCTTAACTTGCCATGCAATTTTTTAAGGAATTCTAATCACAAAAGAAGTGTTATCAACCTTGCTCACCATCGGGCTAGTTAAAATGACTTTTGGGCTAGTACAGGCTAACTACAGCTTGCCCGAATGGCAAGCTGCAAAACTGACATTCTTTGCACCCTGGGCGCAGAACCCCTTTTTTCAGCTGCAACACAAATTCCCTTCTTTTAAGTAGCTAGGCGACTTAGGATAATCGTGAAATGGTTTGAAAGGATGCGGAATCTATTTTGCAGTGAAGTTTTCATGGACGTCGCTGTTGTCGGATCGTAAGGTCCCTACTTGGCCGACGTAACAGCTGATACCTCGGTCAATTGTCGGTTGTTACATCAGTCGAGTGGCAGTCTAGTATCAGCCGACTGTTGGTCAAGAGTCGGCCGTGTCTTGACTGGTACTTGACCACTACAGTCTATCGGTTGATAGTCGGCTGTTGCTTTGCTGATGGATCACCAACAGATCACCGATGTATTACCTACACTTGGTCGATTTTAAGGCCTACACCCATACTTACTTGTTTTATTACCCTCAGATTAGGGTCTATTTTCATTTCGCTTTTGTAAATAACATTCCGGCAAGCAAGGTGAAACAACACATAGGGAATGTATGAGAACTGCTAAGATTTGGCCTGATCTCAGGTTTTTGTTATATATTAAAAGGGTTTGACATAAAAAGATTATCAGCAAACATGATTACTATAAATGGTGGTGAGCCAAACTGATATTATGATATGATTATCGAGCAGCTGGTACTGGTGCACTACAAAAATCGAGAACAACTTTTTGGAGCCAGTATTGTCAGTTATTAATAAATTATTTTAATACTACAGGACAAGCACGATAGAAAACTGCACAGCTTGGAGATGGACATTATATTTCAATAAGTGCTAGAAACTACAGTTTAATACATTGCAAAAATCTGCAACGTCATTTAAAAAAAACTTAAAATTACACATACCAAGACATTCTAATATAAGATACAGTACAGAAGACACTGTGTTTTCTCCATGTTCCTCCAAGCTATCTGTTGTATCATATGGTCTGTTGTCAATGCTTTTTTCCTGTTGAAAGACGACAAACTTTTACTTAGATGTTAACTGGCAGCAAGCTTAAGTCGTATATCAGTGTGAAATGCAAACATACTTATAAGGTAAACAAGTGACATAAAAGAGCTAGACCTGCTTCCATGGGGACAACGCAGAAACTATGATAAACATAGGAAGTCACAAGAAGAGTAAAAGAAACGTGACTGCACACTTTATTAACATAATTTGAACAGTTGGCATACACAGCATGCAAAGAAAGTAGTGTCCAATAGCCTGGGACTAAGTGGATTTTGCTATCGGGCTTGTGAATTCTGTTCTTACCTTGCCCGATGGGCCAGTGAAGTTTTGAGAAAGTCAAATTACATAAGAACTGTATAATCAATCCTGCTCATCAAAAAGTTTTTGGGGCTAGTTGAAATGAATTTTTAGTACATGCTAGCTACAGCTTGCCCAAATGGAAAGCTGTAAAACTGACTTTCTTTGCACCTTGATACATGGCGGGGTGTCCATTTCCGCCCGCAAATAGCAGGGGCTAGTCAAGGCAGACGGAGATACAGGGGAACAGCAGTCCGTGATAAATTTGAATGGTTGATTAAAAATAAATAAATAAATAAAGCTTAAACGTGAATAAATAACGTTTATAAATTTATAAAATTAACCACTTCTAACAGTTACAAGTATATAATATAACTGCAAAACTGAATTAAATGATTCATATAACTTTTTTGTTTTCTATTTTCTAAAGCAGAATGCCGGCGCTTCATCATAATCGTGACTAAGCCTGTATATGCAAGTTCTGTTTCTAGCACAGCAAAGTTGCCAATACTGTCTTAACCTGAGATAAGGCCTAACATAAAATTATATAGTTCTCCAGCCTGGGAATTCATAGACTGCATTTGCAGCCACGCTTTTCACCCAACATCTACTAGGAAAGACCCTTTGTCCAGAATTTAGACTGTCTGCAATACGGGCTTGGGACTTCACTGCATTGTCACTAGAACAGCAAGTTAATGTCACTGGCAATGACTATAAACATCTCTCAGATGCTGAAGAACTACCGATGATGATCTACATGAATAATGTAGGTGATCACAGGAAGGTCTGCAGCATCTGAGATACCAGCATTATTCCTCTTTAAATAAAAATATCAAGTAAAAACATACCCTTCCATCTATTATTCTTGAGAACCACCTCTTCGTCAGTTTATGTTTACTTGTTGTCTAAAGTAGAAATATATATACATGTATTATTTATAGCTTTCAGGGCTGTGATTAAGTTTTGAAGCAGCCATAGCAAATGAAGATTCATCCGTAACATCTCACAAAAATTTAAAGAGCCAGCTTTAGCTTTCCACTTTTATCACCTGTAAGGTCAAGTGAGCTCAGCCGTAACAGGTGTTAAGGGTTACGGCCCTTAAATGACAGCTCTGGCTTTTATAGATTATCTGGAGTTGACCATAAGAATTCACACCACTTATTATTTAAATAGTGGGCATTCAGACTCTTAAAAAGTAGGTCACGAATTTAAAATAACTATTGAGAGGTTCATAGGAATTAGTTTCTATTATTATATAATATACTGAAAAAAGCCTATGCAGCCAATTAAGGTTTAATTTAGCTTAGCATATAATAGGTTTCAGTAATGGTGAAAAACTAAGTTTCCTTTTCACTCAAAGCCAAAAGCAAGTTACCATGGGTTTATACTGAGCACTGATGGAGCACAGGCTGCTCTAAGATAGCAAAGCTAAAATAGGATGCTGCCAACTGAATAAAATGTCTGTCCAGTGGATGAAGATAAATAAATGGTAACAATTTAGAGAGTGATTTTACTTGAACCATGAAATAGATAGTAGAAAACTACATACTATTATGCAATAATTCTGTTGTCTTCTCTTGTTTACCTCTCGCTATTTTGTACTATTAACCCTTTAGCCCCAATATCCACATACAAATTCTCCAAACTGATCTCCACACATTTCCTTTAAGAATTAGTTGATAGAATTTGATGGCAGATCAAAGCATTTTCTCTTTAGTGATCATTTCATAAATTCTCATAACCTAATCTCTTGACAAGGTATGAATATTGTTGGGAGAAAATTTATGTTGGTCACCATTGGGACTTAAAGGGTTAATAGTAGGTATGTTTCACAGTCCAAGAAAAATCACTCCAAGTACCAAGAGAGACTAACATCAATTTTCTCCTAATAATATCCATACATCATCAAAAGAAAAGATTGTGACAATTAATAAAATGATCTAAGAAAACCCTTTATTAATGAAATATATGAAGATAACTCAGGAGAATTTATATGTGGATGTTGGGGCTTAAATGGGTAAGGAAAATATTGACTATATTAACAAAAGTAGTTTGCTTTATAAAGTAGGCTGACCTCAGCTAATTCCAGTGCCACTGGCTGTTGAGGAGGATTCCCCTAAAGTGAACAATTTATAGCATTTAGTTATTTTGTAATACTCTAAAGTTAAAACACAAGTTGCTTGATGAAAGGATTTTCCTTTCTTAAATTGATAAAGGTGTTTTCTTAAAGAACAAAACTCACTAGTAAAAAGAGAAAGCTTGGAACGTGAAAAAAAATAACTGTACTAGGTCTAACAATTTGTTTTATTAGTATTTTTTCCAAAGTATTATAGTAATTCTACTTCTACTACTTCTTACTATTCAATCAACTGCGAGGATCATATCATTGTACTTTCATTATAATCATCTGTGGTTCACAACAATGAACTACTTTAAAATTGATTCAAAATCACTACTCATTTAATTAACTACTTCTTTAGGCTGTAGTGGAGATCACTATTTGATAAAAGAGTCCCCTGCGTTATGACTGTTATCAATAAAATGCCATTTCATTTAACCTGATAGATATTATCCAGTGAGTCTCTCCAGAACTGCAACCTCATTCTCCCTATGTTAGGATCACTTACAGCATCTTGAACCTTGCGTTCAAATAAAAATACAAAGGGTCAGAGTACACACCTTAAAAAGTGCTTTAAAGCTACCTGCAAAGGGACACAACAACTCATTGGGAGTTGTTACCTCTGTTTGCACGTAGCTTAAAGTTTGACTGGTTTCAAACTTTGTGCAACAACTCCCAACAACACATGACAACATGGCAGCAGGGTGTGCAAACAGACACAACACACAACATCCAACAATGTTGCATCCGTTTGCACAGGGCTTAAGATGGCTTGAGCTGGTATTATGTTATTGGACGGTTTAGTGTGTAGTATTGTGGGATATTTTTACAAGTCACATATTTTGATGAGCCTGTAGGGCGAGTCAAAATACAAGAGACGAGTAAAAATATCTCACTATACTACACACTAAACTGTCCAATGAGAGATTTATTATTCAACTCGAGAAGTATAAAAATAGGCTTGCCTTATGAGAATGCATGACAGACTAACATGAGTCCAGTTTTCACGCGCTGATTGGTCATAAATGAAATCTGGTCATACTGGTTTACTCTGTGAATCAATTTCTTCCAGTTTTCATCGGCACTTTGAGGTTCTATCTTTCTTTGCTAAGAAAACAGAGATGGAATGACAAATAATTGTGAGGCTTTTGATGGTCTTTCAGTTACGTAAAAAAGTGACTGGAAGTAGAAAAACTGAGCAGAGCAAATTGCAATGGAAAGACGAATACTCTCTCACAAATTCAAGGAGTTTCAAACTTTAGAGCTGCTCGTGAATAAAGGACTTGAAACCTCATCTTTGACGGAGAGTTTCCTCACATTTTTAAAAGAAATATAGGGGACGACTGTTCAATTACTCGGCGGGGATTGCATTTAATGGACGTTGTTTGTTTCACTGATTTTCACCATCACCATCTCTTTCACACAACTTTAGGTCTGTTTTTGTCTTCTCTGTTGTATTTTGTGTTTATAAAGTTTGTATGTTCTTTTTATTTTAAAAAAAAATTTTAACATTATTTTAGACCTAACAGCTTTTGGCTTCTGGCTTCATCAGGGGTCTTCATTGTGGTTCCTAAAGGTGACTTTACTCTAGAAACTCAGTTTTATTTAAGTTTACAATTTGGCTCGAATATCAGTGAGTTCGCCCCCCTACTTTCTAAGTTCACCATGAAACTAAACTCTAACAACACCGCATGCGCAAAAGGTTGGCAAAGTTTGTCAACAACAGAACACTTTAGCCGGATCATGGTTTATATTGAAGAAACTTTTGGTACAAGGTGCATGTGGTTGTTAAAATCAAAATGGTTGATTAACAATGTGCTACTATGTATTTTACTTGATTTCTTACGTGTGAAGTAGTTGGGGGCGAACTCACTATGGGGCAAAACCATTCGCTTCCTTAGGCTCCTATTCCGTTTTTTCATCAGAAAAACCATGCATTTTCTGCCATGTGCTACATTTGTAGATTAAAACCGGTCAAACCAGTCTTCTAGAGTACAAATCAACCGTGAGATATTTGTACTCGTTTTAAGCATTATTTGCACTCTACTGAGTGAAGTTGCATAATAAATTATCATACCCACTCTTTACAAACAAGAAGTACAAAGATGCCTCACACAACGCAGAGAATCGAATGGCACCCATTTGTGGGGAAGGGCGAACCCCTTCTTCTCAAAATTTGGCAAGAAAAACACCCCTGGGTTTTGCTACAGCCTGTGTTTAATACTCTCAGCTTCATGACATATGCATACAGATTGTGATACTCGAGTACAAATCAATGGATGAACAACATCAATAGTTACACCCTTCTCTTGCAACTTGGGAGATAAAATATCCAATACTAGCAATGACAGGCTTTAAAATTTAAAATAGCCGTACACAATCTTACCCGAGCCACTTCAATGTTGAAAGCTCTCACGGCAAATACAGATCTCCTAGAACCCTTAGGTAGAAGCAGCACACACAGAAAATTTTCATAGTCGAGGTTCCTGTTGAAACAAACACCCGCAGCCACCCAAGAGGCGTCAGTGCATGAGCGACAAAAATCTCTCTTCACTACTAATTCGCGCAGCTTCTAAAATTACATAAAGAATATTTGAGGCAAAGAGGAAACAATTTTACCTGACTAGATTAGTGCAATATTGGGTAGAACTTTGAGGAGAACTTTGGGTAGATGTCGTAAGGTTCTTCCCTCGTGAAGAAAACGCTTTCCAGCGAAAGCGTACAAAGTACCTTCCCCCGTTCGAAACGGCCGCCATATTACTAGTTTTCAGGCTTCTCACGTGGATAGGACCCTGCGTGACGCGATGTGACGCTTGACTTTACTTCTGAGTGGCGGTGGGGGAGGGGGTCTCGGGGGGTGGTTGAATGATGATTTTTGTTTTCAACCCCTTCATTCACCTCGGAGTATGTGCTTGCATGATATTTTTTGTCCCTCCAACCCTTTGCAAGAATTTTTTGTGGCAATTTTTTTTTCTGCTGTGTTGAAAAAGTAGCCTTTCCATTATATATCAAACTTTTCACTACTAATAACGATTTGTGAAATAATCTTTGAACAAGTATATAATTTTTCATCTAAGAGTGTTGGACTGACCTTGATAATGCAGCACTTAACACTGAATATAAAAGCGGGGAGATAGAGAGCCCTTTGCTCTGGTGAAAGGAGTCAGGAACAAATTATGGAGCAGATTGGAAGGAATTCAACACTGAGAGGTCTGGAGAGTAAAAAGCCAATTTTCTTTTCCAAACAATTTTTTACTTTATACATTTTAATAAAATAGGCATCCCTGTTCCATTCCCCTTTGGCTGGACCAAAGAGCCAGTCCCCCTTGGTGGACTGAGCACTCCCCCTTGGTGAGTCCACGCTCAGTCCCCCAGGGTGCCTCCATTTGGGAGGTCAGTCCCCAATGGCCCCACTCACATATTTTAATGACGGGGGCGGGGGGGTCCGACAGAGGTTCACATTTTATACCCAAAAATATCCCAACTTCAGAATTTGTCTATTCAAAAAAATCCCTCAGTGTTTTTGCATCAGCAAATTTTATTATTTATCTTCTGGAAAGCTAAAACATGCCAACTTCAACTTTGGTTTTGGTCAAAAACAAAACTATAAATTGCGCTTATGTTATTTTTGATTTGAGCTGATGAAAAATACAATACCCAAAAAAATCCCGGTGTCTTTCATAGACCCAAAAAAATCCCTTTTGGCCAAAATGTCAGACCCAAAAAAATCCTTCAAACCCCCCCGTCATTAAAATATGTGAGTGGGGCCCCTGCGGGTCAGTCCCTAGGATGCTCACCAAGGGACTGATTGTTGAGGTTCCATGAGACTGTCACAAAATCTAAATGCAA